GTATAGCTACCAAAATGACACGAATCGGAGGCGCGCGTGGCTGCAAAGCTAATATATGCTGTTCAGAAGACATGTCAGTATAAATGATGATTCAAAAATGGCATAGATCGGTGAGGAATCCCAGTTTGGCTTGAGTATATAAGCCTATTCAAACATAATACCATCTGTCACGTCATCACCGTGCGACAGTCGACATCATATCATTGACTGCGACGGGCTATTAGAGAAAGCTTTGGTCAGCTCCTCGCACGTAGTATCTATTGGGACAGGAGGATTTTGCCGATGGTCGCCACAAACACCAATATTATGCCTTGAAACAGTTCCGCTGAGCTCTTTATGATATTACTGAAGGATCTTTCCACTATCTTCCGCATGCAGTGACCTTACTTGTATGGCTGACTTACAGACCTACTGACTCACAGAGTGGTGTAGATTCATTCCGATTGGCATTTACGGGGTCCTATATGAACGACGAACATACGAAGCCACATGGCTGTAGGCAAACTATCAGATCGTAGATATTTTATACTTGAATCGAAAAGTAGCTCATGTCCATTTGATGAAGTTCTTTCGCTGCCTACATAACTACCCGGTGTGCTATTTGATGTGTCCGCGCAACTCCCGCAATGCCGCCAATGGGTGTGGTCGTGATAGCCAACACCCATGCATTGGGGCACTGCTGCGATCTCGGTACTTTTGCATCGTCGTGCTAGCTTACGGTACCTACGATTATGATATATCCGTCTATATGATCCAGCACGCCACTAATTGACCACAGGGCATACCCGCGGCGATACAGGCAAGCTGACCAGGCGTCTGTTAGCAGTATTCAAAGCAAAATATACGCACGCGGCGGGTACACATTATAGCCATCCGTGACTCAGCCGAGCTCTTATCTCAGCCATTCTGGGTAGGGCAATAAAAAACAGTGCAGCGTACAGCCACGTCGACTTGCCAAGTCCACCGGTACGATCTGCCGTGCCGCACACGTGCCCGTGTCTTTTTAGACAGCAACTTATTCAAGTACATGCGGGACGGCATACTGGGAAGCACGTAGTTGCGCTGCGCCTTAGAGAGGTACAGGGCAACGAGGCTGAGCTCAGAAGAGAGCTGGGCACCCTAACGAGAAGGGTGTGTGCGAGCAGGGCTTGCTGGTCGTTTCAGGTAAACCTAAAGGGCTTTCCAAAGCCAGGGAGGGTATTCATTGACTCAGCTGCTTCGGGCAACTATGTCTGTCGCTCCATCCTAGAAAAGAGGAAGTTGTATGATGGGGTACGGAATATGCAAACGAGAAATACCATCTTCGGCCGTCTCGCGTCAGGGACACATGTGATCATGCAAAGGTATCCGCTGAGCTTGGTGTAAAGTGCTTGAATTCGAATACGTGGAGCGCTGTTGACATAAGTTCCGGATCTGATGTATGACCTCATCCTTAGTTTGGCATGGCTCAAGTGCCGTACACCATGGATCGACTGAAAGTCGAAGACACTTGGTGCTACGCACTCTGAGCTTATAGCAACTTTGGTGAGTCATGCGGCCACCTCTGCAGAAGAGCAAAAGTGATTTTGGCGCGAGCACAAGGCTGGAGTGGCCGGAGTGCTAAACATTGGAATGTCGGGGTTAGTACTCAACAGCGATGTTGATCGCCCTAAGAGCGGTCCCGCGAGATCCGTAGGGCGGGGCCGGGGGGGGGGGGGTCGAAGGGTCACTGCTGCGGCTTGATGAGGGCTGGAGGGGCGTGGCGCGTAGCTCACTCAGTGGTCTGGATCTGTTCGATGATGTTCTGCATCGCCCGAGGGCTGCGGACAACCGAGGGTTGGAGGGTCGGGGCATCGTAGGCACGACGACGAAAATGCAGGAAAAATATACCTTGTTCACAGAAGAAGGGCCATCGACCGCATCATATGGCTCCGCGACGAGTGGCTTGTGACTCAGAGTCACAAGGCACTCGTCTCAAAGCCATAGATAGGTGTTAACAATCCAATTATTCCACCCACTCATGCTATTTAATAAATACCCCTGATTTTTCAACGTTTTGGAGTTTTCCAGAACCCTGCTTGTGATGCATTCTATCTTCCTCGTTGAGTGAAGGTGCTAGTGCGCCCTGATGAAGATGTCGCCGAACCACCGTTTCCGCCGGGCTCGGTTGCGGAGGAAAAGGAAAAGTGTATGGGACGGCTTCGAGGTCAGACGAGGTGTCCAACGTGATGAGTGGTGAGGTACGATGTGATTACTGTGAACACCTTTCGCACTCGTAAATGGAGTGACGTGGAGATCGATTTGACGCTCAGCTGGCTCCACTACAGCTGGCCGAGATGTCTGTTGTCGAGTCGAAGGCATGAAGTTTATCAGTGGTGGGCCTTACTAGGACCTGAGGAGGAGATGAACTCCTCGTCCGCTGTAAACATCACGGTCCAGGAGGGCACCGAAGTTGCTCAGTGAGAGAAGGGGATTGGCGACCTTAGAAGATCTTTGGAACCCCTTTGTACTCTGGGGTGAATGAGTATGGAGACACTGTCTCGAGGCCCACCGACGGGCTGCCTCCGCATCGAGACTGGGGCATAAGGTTGACCCGGATCCCGGAGCCAGCCGGAAGGCTTTGCCTGGGAGCAGCGTGATGTCATTAACGCATTCTTCCGTGCGAAGTGCGAGGCAGGCCTGGTGCGTGAGCGCAAGTCTCCTCGTTTGAAACCCACATTCTGTGGAAGAAAGCCAATCGACAAGTAATGTAGAGAACATGCTTTCAATATGCTTAATACGACCGCCGTTATGGGGCAAACGCCGATTCCTCGCAAGGCCATTATGCAGAACAACATTGTAGGCTGAACGTTGTACAGCGTATTCGACATGGTGATGGTTACTATCAACTGTCCATGAGATGAAGCGATATTCCGCTGGCAGTAGTGGGCACTGCGGGATGGATGACCTCGGAGTGACTGGACATGTCCATTCCCCAGGTGCTGTTGAACGCACCTGTAACGTTCAATCCTCTTGTGACGACGTTATTCAGGTTCCATCGGGCGTACACTCAGACGCAATTTGACGATTAAATTTTGATCATAGTCGTGTTACGCACGGTCCGCCATACAAGGATAGGCTCAATGACAATTTCGGACCAATATTGGGGTACATGCGCACTAAAATGTTGTATGCCAACCTGGACAGGTGTGGCTTTGGCGCGGAGAAAAAAACTTTTCTAGGTTGCTTCATCAGGAAGCGTGGCTTACAGGGAGACATATCAACCTCAATACCATCGTGGATTGGCCGGTTCCAAATAACCAAAATGACTTACGCAAGTGCCAAGGCTTAGCCAATTCCATGCACAAACTCAGCGCTAGCTATAAGAAGATCGCTTGGCATTTAACAGCTATCCTTTAGAAGAATGTATCATGGGACTAGGCCGTCGAGTACGACATAGTCTTTAAAAATCAAGGAGAGTTCCGATCGGGCTGTATTCCTGGTGCTACCAGACTCGTATCGTCAGCTTAGCATCGGCGGCGACGCCATCGATTTAGCAAACTTTTTTCCTTGTGTAAAAGCAACAAAAAAAGACAAAAAATAGCGTGAACGTGTGATCGCGTTGGAGTCTCACTGGCTCAAAGCTGCAGGGAAGAACTATCCAGATCATGGCGAAGCGCTACTTGTGATGAAGCATGATCTAGTCAATTTCAGGGCGCAGCTGCTAGGCTGTAAGCCTTTGTGGTATTTAATGATCATGCGTTGTTATGCCCTGCGACTCAGTCGCATCATCTCGCTCAGAGAATGGTAAAATGGTTTTCTTCTTTGCATAGTACAGCTTCAGATAAAGCACAGCAGGAGTAGTCAAAGCGCTTTCGCGCAGATGTCACAACAGTAAAGTCATCAATGCCTGCTTGATACGCAGAGTGTATGCACAGGATGTCATGTGTGTAGCGCTGCTACGAGCTATACGAAGGGAAGCATTTCAATACTGTGATATGCAATTGTTTTGTGTTTACGTACGCGACCGCTTCGATACACGCTAAATTATGACCTACTGAATCACAGAACCGACCCTCAGGATACACCTCGTGCGGTTGTTCGTCACGATGAGGATTTTAAGTAATGAATCCTCTATGGTGTTTATAATACGCCTGTTGGCGGGTCTTAGATCGTACGAAGACCTATGAATCAGAGTTCAGTATGGACTGTGTGTTTCGAATATCTAAGAATAAGGCTGGAAACGCGGGTATTGTGACCTTTGTGGACCGATTGACGAGATGGCTCGCTTAGCGGTGGTGCCGAACCCCATTGATGGTGAGGGCACAGTTTGGCTGTTTTCAGACCGAGGCTTTAGTCAACATAGCTTGCTTGAGGCAATTGGCTCGGATCGAGACTCGCGGTTCACCGTGAAGTTATGGGCGTTCTTTTTCGGAGTGCTTGCCAGTATTTTGGACATCTCCACAGCGTATCATCCGCCGCTCAAACGGAACTCGTGAATCGCATTGTGGAGGATAGGCTTCGGGGTGTATGCGCTGAAGCATCGAAACGATAAAGCAAAATGCTCCCACTCGCTGAGTTCGCATTGAATAGCGTAAGCCTCGTCAGGATTTGCTCCGTGCTATGTAAGCGGCTTGGTGAGCCCTTACATTCCACTGACGCCGCATGGCAGCAGTTTATGGGTTATTGGGGGGGGAATAGTCGAGCGACTGGCTGATGTTACATCGGTTATGGTTGGCAAGCAAATCTATGAGCTTGTCTTTTGAAAGACTAAGCAGAATGCACCACGTGCGCGACGCTATGGCTGTAAGTCAAGCCATCTCGAAGGCACAAGCGAATCTCAAGGGCGGAAGTAATGTAGAAATATTCGAGGTCGGGAATCTAATTTTACTAAGCGCAAATAACCTACCTACGCATGCAGTATATTCGTTCTTTAATACTAAACTAAGATCTCGCTTCGTCGGGCCGTTTAAGGTCGAGGACAGGGAATGCCTTGCGCAAACATTTAATCTCCCGAAGTGGATGCGTACGTACCCGATCGTCTATGTCTGCTTGGTAACGCTATACGAGGATATTGCTCAAGTGAGCGCGGGCTCGCTGGCACCGAACCTGCAGAGAGTCTTTGATCCACGAACAGCTGCAGGGCAGCTAGCTGTTGAGTTACGGGATGCTGAACAACAGCAAGTGGATGGTTGTCATCCGGTTGGTCATCCACAAGTGGTAGTGCTACAGGTCGCGAAGCGATGTTACCGTGAGACAGGCGCAAACGATGCGTGGGAGAATGATACGAACTTCTACCTTTGGCTAGACGGAGGGAAGTTTTCGAGTGATTGAAGGAAGAAGGGAGACGAAGTGAACTACGATGGCAGGAGCTCCAGAACGATGGGGGGGATTGAATGCGGCTTGTATTTTTACGAGATCAACTAATTAACGCTACAGAAGAGCTGTAAATAATAAAGCGAGGAAGGAGGATAATTGTTCCTACAGGATGGACAAATTTGATTTATAACCGGAAAAAGTAGGCTTGCCATAAGAGGGAGGTCAGGCGAATCGGGTTTCTTCTCCTTGCTCTCATCTTTTTATTTCTTTTCAACCTGACGTGACTCACGTTGGGAGCTCCTGGGATGGCGTAGAGGTTGTGACGTGGTTGTCGGCTTAGAAGTGGGTCCTGTGGTTACCCGATACATCGACCTCCTGGCCTTGAAGGTACCATCAAGGCCAGGAGGTCGATGTAAAGGGTAAAAAAAACGCAGTGTATTCTTTGTTTTCGTTCATAAAGTCGGAGTCGTATGCCTTCAGCTCCAAGGGCTTGAACGATTTGTCGTCGTACTGATTTTCAATTTTTCTAGCACGAAGAAGTATAAGTACTTCAAACGGAGTAATACGAAGCCGGGAGTTGGAAAAAAGTGCATTTCATAGACCGCATTCACGGTTGCTGACTCAGTAGCTACGGTGTGTCGACGGCTTATCGCGGAGTGTAATGCGTACAAGCTTTTGGTCGTAAAGACATAGATGTGGGTTGCGAATGGTATCACGCGCGTTGAAGCCACGTTCATTAATATCAGGAATGAGGAACGAGAAACCGTTTTATTGGGCTTGTGCTTACGATAAGCGACAGTGTGTATAAAACACAAACAAGGTACGCTGGACACAAACCACTCCAGGAACAATAAGGACGTGTTGAAGCTCGGGGTACTTAGACGGAGGATACCATGCGCGGTGATCGATAAAAGGGTACATACTTCGGACCGGAGCCTTATCTTGCTTATCGTCAAACTGGATGATACTCGAGAGGTCGCGCTGGACGCGCTCGTCTGTCCCACTGTCAAGGTAGATGTCAAACTTAGACTTGATGAGACGTCGCATTTTGGAAACGCTATTTATGGAATCACAAACGGAAGGTGAGCCGTTCCCAACTAGGTAGTTGCGAGCAAACGAGCACGGGGGGGGCTACTTAACCGGATTATTACTCCTATTTTATTCGCATAGATTATCATCCATTTGACAGATCCAAAATGTAATGGGCCGCTTCATTACATAAGTAGGTGAATTATTGCCACTCTACCGGTCGATATTTGGTAGGCAGCCGTATTATTATCCAATAAGGCGATGTCTTGTATTTGAGTAGCCAGGTCAAATAATGTTAGTGTTGAGTTTGTTTTACACCAATAATCCAGGCGTCCTATTGCGAGCTTTCTCAACACTATTGTGTAAGCAAGTATCGGACTAATTACTTCTCCCGTTATACCTGGTAGCACTTGTTCGGACTTACAACGCCCAAGCTCGACATGTGCCAAGACCCCGACCACGCTGCTTCGAACCATCTCACTCGAATCGGGTGGGAAGATGAGAACTGTTTCACCAACCATCGATCACAAGCACTCGACCGTTGATAGCAGCTCGCACCGGGGCCTGATCGGTGAAAATGTCAGCACCATCCACGATCTCTCGCCGCTGGTATTGAATTACTTTTTTTAATGAAGATTTCATGGAGCATTTCAACAATTTTTGGCAAATGACAAACCTGTTTTAAATCCGACTCCGTGGTGTCCTGGGAAATAGCGACATACTCCACTTCCTTCTGTAGAAGCTCGCAGAATTGCATACTCAGCAGTCGACGGGACGATCCAGGAGGTCTTCGCCAATCGGGATACCCTCCAGAATTACCTCAGGTTCGCGTTCGACCCGCCGCGTGATGAATTCTCTACTTGGCCGGGATGCTTCGCCCTTTCACAAGGTACAATGTCCATGCGTGACTGCGTTCAAAAGACTCGTCGATTGTGGTTTTTTTTTACGTGTTCAAGGTCACAAAGATGACCTCCCTTATCAATATTTACGTGTTTGGTACGCGCGAAGGCATACCGCGCTATTGTCAAACGAGATACGATATTTCTACACTTGAAGGGGCGTTTGCCTCGCACTATACGGGAACTACCTGATGACGGCCTCATACACCGCTCATTGAGCCTCAAGAATTGGCACCTGAGTCCAGTGAGACCGTTCCGACGTGGTACACGGTGCTGACGATTATGCTACGATGCCCGTAAACATCGGATGCACTCGCTACACTATATCGACTCGGACACTGTCTCAACTCAACACCTTCGTGTACGTCACCTTACTGGATCTAGCAGTTTGTCGGGTCAAAGAGCTCTTGAGAGTGACAGCGACGAAGGATTAAGTGTATAATAATGCACAGGATGGTGGCCCAGAGCACGATCGACCGTAATACCGCGGTCTAGCTCCGTTCTCGGTACAGTAATAGAGATTCTTCTTCAACGCGGCAAGCTTATAGCTTTTTTAAACAGTGTCTTTAGTCAAAAGCCCTCATTCCTTCTCGAAATGAACCAATTTTTTAGCGCTCGTCTACACGATTGAGTAAATTCACGAGGTATTTCAAAAATCCGTGGCGGTCAAACGCACAAATAAATTAATAAGACCTTTTACAATGACCATCAGCTCGATTCGAAAAGGACGAGGAGAGGGGGGAATTTCTTGACTGCTTGTTGTCCAAATACAGTGTAAGCGAGCTCGCACGGAGCTGCCGCTTCAGGATTTAATTTCCATTAGCGGGAGGATACAATACTTATTACTCTATTAAAGTTCTTCTCCTTTCTCATTTCTTTACTATTGTTGCGCAGAATTACTAATACAGTTCTTTTTTGTATCGCCCGAGCACTGAATCCAGGTCATGTCCGAATACACCGCAAAAAAGCTAACTTGACTGGCGTTGCAGCATCATACGTCGGTAGTTGAACGGATAGCTGGCTAGACTTCAAGATTCGTGAATGTTCGGTAAGCTTATTTAAAAAACTCTCTCTGTGGGCAACGGATCATGTGCGCATCAAACGGTTCGGCTAAAGTGAACAATGCATTAGTGGATGAACGGCCTAGGGTAAAATGTTTGCGTATCAAAACAATATATCCCAAATTACGCGTCCACATTGCTCATCTCGCGCCACTACGATACATACTCAAGCCGCCAATTCGCCTGAGTCGAGCTGCGAACCCCGGATCCTCTGGTCCGGTACGCAATCGAAGTTCGTCAACCAAGTTTTTTAATGTCATCGAACAACCTACGCGCAACCGATACACAGTGCTCCACGAGCAGATGATATCGAGTTACCTTCGTACTACACGAGATGATAGATTTGGTGACGACACTTTCTTAGAATTCTTCAAAATAGTTAAGCTTTTTTAATTTTCATTTGTAAACCAGTCAACCCAATTTTGTAGCTCTGAGTCTAACTGGGGAAAGCGAACCGAACGGTGCGACTTTGTAGTCAGAACTTCCAATGGTATGCATTTGAGTAGATGCTCCTGCTTCAGGATGTGTTTAATCATTGCAGCACGCTGTAGCTGAAACACGTTTCGAGTCCACAACGCAACACTCAGTGATGGAAGTGGTTGGACTGGCGAACCCAAAGGCGGGTTGATGCGTTTTGGTGATGCCTAGGGCTCTACCTCCTCCATGGCGGCTGATCGCTTGACTTATCTAATTGCGCGTAAGCCTGCCGCAAGTAAACAAGTACTTGTGACAGTAGCTAATATTCCCGCTTCGTGGCGTGACTATTCATTCCTCAGCCTGTTTTTGTGACGTAAGTGAGGCAAGGTATGCGGTATTGCAGTTCAAAAATGCCATCGCAAGCCGGAGAAGTGATAGGTGTCGGAATCGATGAACACAAACTTGTTACCAACCCAGGCACGAGCGATACAATGCCGCGTAGCCGCCCATTGTCCAGGCTGCCTACCTATAATCAGCAGAACCGATTTCGACTCCGCGCGATGGATGCAGGTCGCTTGAGTCTGTTCTTAAACCCCGACCTTGTGTGCAGGTAAATCAGCTGTTTCTGCCGCTTCTACAGGCATTTCTGCAACGCATCCATGGTGTAGGCACCGTATAGTGGATGGCCATGATCCAGACTTTGCTCACCGCTGCCAACCGAGCCAAAATAGACCGCAACATGACTGGGGTGATAAAATTCCTAGTCTGAATAGTGTTGCTGATCGATAAGAGGCCGCACATTGAGTATCGGTCCGGCAGGGCTCTTGAGGCTGGCACAACATTGATGTGCGAAGGCTGACCGGCATATGTACATGTATACAAAATATATCATTGTGGTACTGTGTAAACCACATAAATCATGGAATCAAAATTTAGTGCAGTAGATCAATATGACAAAACCCAAGGTTGGTGAGACCATTGAAGACGATTCGCTACCGAGTGAAACAAGTCCACTGAGAGCGAGCCCAGCCTGCAGCGTCAGGCGCACATTGCACGAAGTCTCGTTCCCTTAAGGATTGCAACCTGATCAACACCTCCAATACTTGCATGCAAATCAGAAGAAAACTGCACCTGTGCAAAAGTTGAAAGGTCAGGAAATGAGCACTTAATGTACTCAACGAGAACAACACAGAAGAGGAAGCAAGCTTAATTCACTGATACTAGAGCTGCACAGAACTTTGCGACCTTAGGAAAGGTATAGAAATACAACTTCTAGCAACTCACTACCGCAATAAGCATTCGATTATCATCGAAGTAGTAACCAAGAGTCAAAGTTCTCAACGTCTTGACGGAAATCAACTACACCAGCTGGGATACGAACTGTCCCCAACTTGGGACAAAGAGAGGCTGTGAATGATGGGTCCTAATTTGTGAAATTAGCGTACAAGTTATTGTAAAAAATGTCTTACCATACAAAATATGTTCTGTGTACAACCCTGAATAAGTCAATTGCATCACCTTTTACAGGAAAGGTGAATCAATGGTGGCCAGGAAACTCGATGAAGACAGACTTGTAAATTTCAATCTCAACTCTTTTTTTTCTCTCATCTACTCAAGAAGTAGTTCCAATTTCCGAGTAGACGTAGATCAATACATTTCAAAGTAGACGTCGATCAATACTGATCTTGGATTACCTATGTAGCGAATTCGTCCATTTTTGAATCTAAGGAGAAAACTGACTTTTGTGCATGGATGTTTGACATTTCATACAGCGACTGACTTTTATACTGGGGAAGTTTATGCTTAAAATGTGTTTCACATATCATGTGCTCAAAGCTATCGCAACCAGCACCGATGTCAACAGTTTGTTGGCAGCACTTACCAAAACACAAGCCGCCGAGTCCGCCGAACTGCTGCGCTGCGCAGCACCTGTCCGCCAGTCCCGCTTCACTGTGCCGCCCTTGACCGCCAGTCTCGCTGCGCTGCACTACCCCAGTCCAACGGCCGCGCTGTGACCCACTGCTCCTGGTCTCACGGCGCTACGCCCCCCTGCCCTTAGGTCACACTGTGCTCCATTGCTTTAGTGTGCCGGGTCACTCCGCCGCGTTATCTTTGCTCGGCGTCCGGTGCCGCTCCCTAGTCGTGAAGCAGTTTAGTTACTTGGCTAACGGTAATATGACGTCCAATTATATTGACGAGCTGCGCAGTACAGCTGCTACAGGATATTACGGGCCTAATTAATACAATCTTGCAGAGGTCTACAAAAAATATCAAGGTCAATGGATCGAATCGTGGGAAGAAGCTGTATAGAGTGAAAAGCCTGCTTTGGTATACTGACAGGCATGTAACGATGTGGCTGGCTGTCGGGACACCATAAAATCCCAACCGATATCGAGCACGCTACGATATTTAGATGACGGATAACATTCCGATATATGTCCGAGAAGGAGTGAAAACAAAACAAGAACAATGGCTAGAAATAGAACAAGTCCCCCGGACCGGCTATCCATCGACCTATCAGGATATTACTCTAGAATATAAATTCCATTAAGCCAACGTCTTTTTTTCGAGCCTGAATTCTGGTTGTAAGTCGACAACCGAGAAACATCAGTGCATGTGGACCATGGACGCGTGGTGTCCTACATTCCTCCAAACGCTCGGCACTCCGTCAAGATTTGGGTTTTCTTTCCCCCAAACACAACCGGACCGGCACTTTCAAGTGGGGCACAGCGCGGCCGTTGGACTGGGGTAGTGCAGCGCAGCGAGACTGGCGGTCAAGGGCGGCACAGTGAAGCGGGACTGGCGGACAGGTGCTGCGCAGCGCAGCAGTTCGGCGGACTCGGCGGCTTGTGTTTTGGTAAGTGCTGCCAACAAACCGTTGACATCGGTGCTGGGTGCGATAGCTTTGAGCACATGATATGTGAAACACATTTTAAGCATAAACTTCCCCAGTATAAAAATCAGTCGCTGTATGAAATGTCAAACATCCATGCACAAAAGTCAGTTTTTCTCCTTAGATTCAAAAATGGACGAATTCGCTACATAGGTAATCCAAGATCAGTATTGATCGACGTCTACTTTGAAATGTATTGATCTACGTCTACTCGGAAATTGGAACTATTTCTTGAGTAGATGAGAGAAAAAAAAGAGTTGAGATTGAAATTTACAAGTCTGTCTTCATCGAGTTTCCTGGCCACCATTGATTCACCTTTCCTGTAAAAGGTGATGCAATTGACTTATTCAGGGTTGTACACAGAACATATTTTGTATGGTAAGACATTTTTTACAATAACTTGTACGCTAATTTCACAAATTAGGACCCATCATTCACAGCCTCTCTTTGTCCCAAGTTGGGGACAGTTCGTATCCCAGCTGGTGTAGTTGATTTCCGTCAAGACGTTGAGAACTTTGACTCTTGGTTACTACTTCGATGATAATCGAATGCTTATTGCGGTAGTGAGTTGCTAGAAGTTGTATTTCTATACCTTTCCTAAGGTCGTAAAGTTCTGTGCAGCTCTAGTATCAGTGAATTAAGCTTGCTTCCTCTTCTGTGTTGTTCTCGTTGAGTACATTAAGTGCTCATTTCCAGACCTTTCAACTTTTGCACAGGTGCAGTTTTCTTCTGATTTGCATGCAAGTATTGGAGGTGTTGATCAGGTTGCAATCCTTAAGGGAACGAGACTTCGTGCAATGTGCGCCTGACGCTGCAGGCTGGGCTCGCTCTCCGTGGACTTGTT